ATGCAGTTATTATGTACTCCGGCCTTGTATATCTCAAGAGTTTCTAGTGATCGGATGTGTTCTATGCGGTGTGAGAGACTGATCATTTTGGCATTGTGAAGGTCTGCTCTTATCCCCGGCTATAAATCACTTCTCCATAAATTACAAAATATGCGAATTACCAAATGTAGATGAAAAATAAAGAAAATACAATTATTATATTTGTAATGAATTGTCATTAATTCGTTTCTACAATATCAAGAGCCTATATTTTGCTTAACATAAAAAAAAATATCGAAAATAATTTTCCTTTTGTTTATTAAGTAATAAATGTACGAGTAACTATCTTATACAAGTTTCCAATCTGGAACAAGCTGTTTATAAGTAAACATACCTTGAGATTTTAAGATTTTTTTAAGCAGTGAATTATTTACAAAAATTTAATAATAAAAATAAAATAATAATAATTTACAAAAGTTTAAGGCTATATTTAAGAATATTTGTCTAAATATATATTTTTAATTTGGTTATGTAGAGCGTAACAGTATGCTAAGTAAGAAACTCCCCATTCAATATCGTGTAAAGCTAAAAATATTTGATTACTTTAATATAATGGTCATTTTTAATTGATCTTTCGTTCCTGGACAAATCGTATGTTATATTTCTATTAACCTGTTAGTGATTATCTTGTGCATACTTTTGCGTTTGAGCTTGATTTGTCCTTAATTATCATCAATACTTTATACGTATTTTTTTGTTTGCAGGCGGGTGGGGATGGATTAATGCCGCAGGGCCCGGTGCAATATTTCGTATAGAAGGAAATTTAACTGCGGTTGAATATATAGACATTTTGGAGAATGGCCTAATGCCATCTTTACAGGCCGTGTATGGAAGTGATGTTGTTGTGCCTTTTGCCCATGACAAATCACCAATCTATATGGCAAAGGTCACACAAGAATGGCTGAACAACCAGCACCAGCTCTCAGTAATGAATTGGCCAGGGAGGGGTGTGGATTTGAATCCCATTGAAAGCCTATGGGCCGATCTTTCTAGGGACCCAATAAAAGCATCTTCCCCGGACGAATTGTGGAACATCGTGGGAGAAACTCCGAAAGATGGGCTGTGTGCGACTCTGGTAGCTAGCATGCCAGAGCACATACAGCAAGTAATAGAGAACAGCGGTCTCTGTTCTGACACTCCTCTCTGGCAGTAAAACCATCAGTCAATCATATATCACCTTGTTCAACTCCTGTGATAAAAGTAAACCTTAGCTTAAAGCACTTTCGTAAAGAA